TGAAAATTGAAATTGCTCAGTTTTGAAAACCAAAACCAAAACAACCCTCTGAAGTGCAGCTGGTGCATCATTCTGCATATATTATATAAGATTAAGGCTGGCTTTCCAACTAGTGACATGGAAGGGACAGGCCAGATGAAGCAAATGTGTTTGTTGAAGGACCTGAAAATCATTCATTCTTCTCCATAAATTGCTGTCCAGAATGTTCAGAATGATTGGGGTGGCAACAGTGCAACCAAGAAGAATCAATCATTGTAGAGACCCTGTATAGATTTAATAGCTTCCCTTGTTCTTATCCATGGGAACATGCTGAAGATACAATGGTTTCTGCTTAGCTTATTTTGCTGTTTCCTGAACTTTTAGGGACAGCAATCTGGAAATCTAATTAGTAAGCTTTGACTGTGATCTCTGCATCAAAGCAATTGCCAGTTCAGTAGTTGTTTTGTATTAACTGAGCTCCATTTGCTTTCAGATCACATGAAATGGGCATAGAATAGTTCTGTGTTAATGGGGCTCAGAACACTAGTTTTTATTGTATGACACTGTGAAGGCTGTAACTGGTGGTACACATACATGAATGGAGACCCTAAAAAGAGGAATAAAGCATTCACATGATATTGGCTTGAAAGGGACACTCATTAAAGTAAAATGATAGATTAATGGCTGATACATGCAGCCACAGTGTTAAGCTTTTCCCGTGCAGAAAGTATTGAACTCCAAACTTTTATGGCACATTACTAATGCTTATTATGGGAGCTTTCATAGAAAACACTTGGTAAGTTTGGGAGACTGAGCTGCAGTAAAACCTTTACGATCCTAAACACCCCCCCACACACATCTGTAGTCATTTTAAAAAATAATAAAATAAAATAGAGGTGGGAATTGTGTAGCCCTGCAGATGTTGTTGGACCGAAACTCCCAGGAATATATGTTGGCTGTGATGGCTAGGGCTTCTGTGAGTTGCAGTCCAGTAATAAAGCTTTCCATGCCAGGGGTACAATGAATCCACTCTTGGTATTCTCACTGTATTGGGAGATAGGCAGGATAAAAATAAATTGTTGTTAACCACTGTTGAGTGGCTGTCAACTCATGGCTGCCCTGTGGATGAAATATCTCCAAGACTTTCTATCCTCCACTATTTTTCTTAGTATTTGCAGATTCATACCCATAGCTTCCTTAATGGCATCCATCCCTCTAGCATGTGATCTTCATCTTTTCTCTTTTCTTTTACCTTTCCTAGTTGTATGGTATTTTCTAATGAGTCATGTTTTCTCATGATGTGGCTAAGGTATGGCAGCCTCAGTTATCTTGGCTTCCAGGGAGCTCTCAGGCCTGATCTGATCAAGGACCCATTTATTTGTTTTCCTGGATGTCCACAGTATTCTCAGGATTCTTCTCCAGCACCACATCTCAAATGAATTTGTTTTCTTTTTATCAGTTTTCTTAATTGTCCAGCTCTCGTGACCATACATTGCTTGTATGATTCTCACGTTTGTACTTAGTTGTATATCATTGCTCTTGAGAACCTTTTCTACTTCATTCATAACTGCCCTCTCCATTCTTAGTTTTCTTCTGATTTCTTGACTGCAGTCCCTGTTCTGATCAATGTTTAATCCAAGGTATAGGAACTCTGTTCTGACCATAGTAGCCTCTCGTCCTGAGTACAGATTCCTCATTAGTACTATTAGATGTGTTGGCACTTGTGTCTTTAAGGGTGTCCCATAGCTTTTTATAATCTATAAAATAATAATATTCCCTTCTTTAAAAGTGCTATCCAAAGCGATGAACGTATTTGGGAGTTAGAGTTCTGCATCTTGAGTTTGTTGTTGTTAGCTGCCTGTGGCGCACACTACTCCCAACTTTTACACTTTAATTCTAGCTAGCTGTACTTTGGGAACTTGTTATCCCCACTTCTATCACCTAATAAAGTGTCAGGGACTCACACTGCCTTTTTAGTGTAGTCCCATGTCCAGAATAACAAAATATTGGTAGCATGTTTTGTGACTAAAACAGAGGCCAAGTGATGTTGGAATAAAAAAAAGAAAAAGTTTATTTTACATCAACATGTGATAAAGGTAACTTGTTCAGGACTTGCTATTATAATTTTTCTTAGTTACAGACTTACAGCATATGTTACGAATTCAATCACAGTACCTCAGCTCCACTGGCTGATAATACCTAACTGGAGAGAACACCACAGTAACTCTCTCTCCCAGAGCTCTG